AACGGGAGAGCTGTGGAGATCACACCTAAAGCCAAGAGAGAGCACAGAAACTCCTTGTTCCTGAAGGAGAAGACTCCACCCAGACCCTCCCCTTCCCCAAAGATCTCAGGCCCCCAAACAGCTCCTCAGAGGAAGTCCTCCTCTGTGTCGGACCCCCCATCCTGGCTTGATGAGAACACCTCCGGGACCACGAGTTCTGGAGTGTCTCTGTCCCGCTCGAGGCCCAAAAGGTGGACTGGAGCATCTCCTGATCTTCCTGCGGGAGCGAGTGTCGGACTGGCTTCAAGTCAAGGGGCGTCCGCGGGCGCAGAGGTGAGCTCCATCACCTCCGACTACTCCACCACTTCCTCCATCACGTTCTTGACCGGAGCCGAGTCCAGCATCCTCAGTCCGGAGCTGCAGTGTGGGGAGGAGGCCGACGACGAGCGCAGTGAGCTCATCAGCGAGGGGCGACCCATGGAGACGGACAGCGAGAGTGACTTCCCGGTGTTCGCCCCGAGCGGAGGCAGCAGCCAATCCACGCCCTGCCCAGAAGACAAGAGTGAAGCGAGAGGAAGTGGAGCAGCAGAGGGGAGCGCCGCGCCGAAAATGGAAGCACGACGCCTCTTCCCGTCGCAGAGGATGATCGAGTGCGACACGCTCTCCAGAAGGTGGTCCCTGAGACAGAAAACAGACAGTGAGTCCTCGGTGGAGGGGGTTTCTGGAAGTGGGGAGCGTAGCGAGAGCAGGTCGGAGTCTTCCACCAGGCTCTCTCGAGTTCTGGAGGTGATGAAGAAAGGCCGGTCGACAAGCAGCCTCAGCTCGTCTTCACGCAGCGAGTCGGAACGCGCCGAACCAGCCTGGCACGTCAAAATCACCGAGCGGCTCAAGTTGAGGCTACGCACATCTGCGGACGACATGTTCACCCAGAAGAACCGAGGCACGGAGGCTCGAGGGAAGAAGAAGAACATCCGCCGGAGACACACCATGGGCGGGCAGAGGGACTTCGCAGAGCTGGCGGTCATCAACGACTGGAGGGAGCAGGGGGGGGTGGACCAGACCGCCGATCTGTCCGCTCTGGACCGCCTCAAGCCCAGATGTTCCTCTCAGGACTTCTCCATCCAGAACTGGATCACAAGAGAGCGATGTAGAGGATCGGATTCAAGTGTCGAGGTCGCGCCTAAAGCCCTCCCGGAGGACCAAGAAGCCCAGGAAGTAGCTTCTGAAAGACCTCCTCCTCCATCTGAGTCTCCGAGCGTACAGCCGCCAGCGGGGGAGCAAGTGAACGGTAGCGGGCTGCAAAGTAAAAACAAAGCCAGCCTCGGGGCGGACCCTCACCCACACAAACTGTCCGGGGCACAGGTTGTACGCTCACGGTTCTACCAGTATCTGTGAAACGGTGGTGTGTAAAACGGAATGAATGTGTAAATGTACGAATGTGGGTATTTTAGCTAAGGTTACTGCACAATATTTTTTCTACAAAGTATACTTTATGTATCTACTGTACATACTGTGTATATGCTTATGTGATTGTTACTGGAATAATGCTGAAGAGATGTTTATGTGTGAAACTCCATACTGGAACAGACGTGGACAAAACTTCCTCCTGCAAGATCGGACCCTACCAATGTGACTCTGTTAAGAAGGGGTGAAGAAATGGACTTATGAAAAGCAACAGGGTCAACTTGACTACAACTGAATGCAGGAGGAAGCTTTTTTTATGGAATCATGGTTCAGTTCTTCCTATTATAAGCGGTATGAAGAATGTATTATTCTCTTTGGACTAACACTAGTTTTTTTGTGACAATATTGTCATTTTCAAACCAATATGTATGTGTTTGTTGCCTGTACTTGAAGTATGTGGATGTAACTGAGGGCTGCTTTCTGAGCTGGGTGCTGTGGGAAGTTTCTTTTTTCACAGCACAGTCACAACAGCCAGATATTAGCTTGATGGACTGGAGAATTATTATAGTTTTATCAAATAAAAACTGACAAACAGAAATGAAATGCTGATACTATAGTATGTAATGCTTGGTACAGTAGTTTTCTTTTCAAAACTTTGTCCAGTTATAGTAAGTTTTTACACGTTTTTTTTATCTCAACAAGAAAAAGTGCCTCTTTTTTTCATTTTTTAAGAGCGTTTTTACCCACAGTTGAAAAGACAACCTTTTTAGGAAAAACAATAACCACAGGCATTCCAGAGATGTTTTTTTGTTGTGAGGTCTTTCCTGTTATTAGTTAAACTCACATCAAGCGGAGCTTTGAGGTGTATGTCAGTGTCTGTGTTTCATTATAGTTTTACTCCAACCCCCCCCCTCCCCCTTGTATGCAGTCAAATGTATGGGCGCTTAAAACCTGGGAGAATAAACAACAAGTTATCTTTAAAACTGCATGAAACAATGTTTTCTGATCAGTAAACATCTTTCCTGTTTCCAGCAAAACATGGGTGTGCAATGCCCTTCTCAACAAACACTGGAAATAAATAATCTTTATTAGATGTTTGTGTCTGTTTGTCTTCATTTCTTCATACCCTAGAAACCTTTATGCATAAATGAGTAGAATTTGCCCCAAAACAATGTATATAGTACACTCATACTATCTTTACTAAGTGGGTCACATTGGTTATGTGCAAAGATGTACATAACAAATACATATAATGATATCATATATAGGTACATAATACATTACATTATACATTATCATGAATACATTGTAGTTGTTATTACAGTATATTATATTATTATAATCTATATAAAATATATTAATATTATATTTCTAATATATTTTAACAATGACAGAATATTATACTGTAATAAAAGCTACAATATATTTATTTAAAGGTAATGTATCTATCTCTAAATGTGTTGTAGTTTTTATAACAGTATAATACTGTCATTACTTGAAAAGGCACTAGATTTGTAGTACCTATACATTATTAAATAAATATTAAAAATGATGTCCGTCAAAATGCATTATCAGACTATTTTTGAGGTGACAGAACACAATAGAAGAATTGCAGTGATTTACATAAGGAGTCACATATTTTGACACTTTGATTGTTAATTGGTAAACTGTATAAATATGTTCTAATGCATCTTACATGTACAATTATAAAATGTCTCTGTAAAAGAGATGTTTAAAAGTATACGTATAGTACGTCAGTTAAAATCCACTGTTTAGTTACTGCATGACATGTCTAAAGGGAAAGGGAGGGTAGTATGCTTCTGTTCAAATAGGTAAGGCTGCAAAATAAATAGCATTCAATGTCCAGTACGTAAAACACTGATGAAACAATATAAGCAATAGCTGTGTATTCATTCACACTCACACACTGTGAGGTGCTGAGTGCACAAGTGTCTACACAACATGTGTAGTTGAGTTATGGAAGAGGGCGTGGACAAGTACTCAGATCTTGTAGTAAAGTAAAAGTAGAAGTACCAGGGTAGGAATACTCTGTTACAAGTAAAAGCAATCAAAATCTTACTCAAGTAAAAGTGTACAAGTATTGGCATCAAAATATACTTAGTAAAATGTCGTAATTATGCAAATTAGCCTATTTCAGAATAGTTTATTATATGTTTTGATTATAATGATTGATGCATTTAAGTGTTGGTAGAGCTGGTAAAGGTGCAGCTTGTTTTAATTTATTTGTATACTGCAGGCAGGGTAGCTTCTGAATTTACTCCAGGTGTAACTGAAGTCTGATTTAAGTTTTGTTTGTATACAATACATTATTGATCCAAATCTGCAAAGTAACTAAAGATATTTAATAAATGTAGTGGACTAAAAGTACACTATTCACCTCTGAATTGTAGTGGACTAAAATGTCAAAGTAGAACACATTTGAAATACTCAAGTAGAGTACAAGTCTCTCAAAAGTGTACTTAAGTTCAGTCCTTGAGTAAATGTACTTAGTTACTTTACACCACTGACCCACTCCAATGAAAAATAACTATGCTCAGTGCATGATGCATCCCCTAGTATCTACAACAAACGGATCACATGGTATGAAAAGGCCAACACTTACGTGTATAGGGCAGGGCATCCTAATGACAAATAAGTACATGTTAGAGTCTATAGATAATTTGGCCATAGTACTTGAATCCTTTCAGAAGTTAAACTCTTTTGTGATATTGGGCCTGACTGTCACTCACCCTTTTTGCACTACAACCCACACGTTGTTATCTATGGATGTTTTGTACTCTCAGTGCTGTCCCGGCCGGACACACCCCTGAGTCATGGGACAGATATGTTTTCCACATCGGCTCCCCTATGAACATGAAGCCCCGCCCACCACGAACACACCTGCAGCTTCAGGCATCTGCTTTGTTCTTCATTCGCACAGTGAATTATGACTTTTTCATGTTTTTTTTCTAATGAAATGTAACAAATCACAGCTAATAATATACACTTATTTAAAAAGTACGATGACACAACAAACGTTAAAGGGAGTTAATGTAATTCATTCTTTACAACCTTGCCTGTATGGATATGTTCTTTGCCTCCATCATGAATTTGGAATTTTACCAAAGACAGTAAGAGCAGAATCCATAACGTAAAACACTGATGAAACAATATAACAAATTAATTGATTCAAGTTATACAATTTGAGTAGAGAATTGTATCAATTGTTCCAACTATCTGGTAGTAGTAGACACTGTGGTTGACAGCGATGTAAGCCATCATTAATATTAATAAAAATTGTAAATGTATTACAGAGATTAAACAGAACAAGCTAGCACACAGATACAAAAAAATAGGGGAACTATAACGTTGCTATAAACAAATACAATCTTACCAAACTAACTTTATGAGAAAAAGAATGATAACATTCAAAAATATTTAAGATGATACTCGAATATAAAGAGTGTGCTCATGATAAACAGAAACAGACAAATCAAATATTTAAACCTCTGCATTTTCAATATGCGGAATGTGCGCATGATGACAATTAGCTAACAATCTGCCTTGTGTGGTGCAGTGATGTAACCTGAACACTCCCAGTCTGTGTTAGAGAGCGCTCCACACAGTTCATATCACCATAGCAGCCTCCACCATATCCACCTGACACCTTTATCCTTTATACACCTGGGTAAGTACATTTTATGTCATTTCTGAATTATGCTTTAAGGGAACATTTTGAGTTTTTAATTGACACTGATTATTTTCTGTAGCATAAACCTTTTTTTGCCAATTGGTTTGGTCCTCTGTCGTCCTAAATGTATATTTTACAAATAAGTTCAGCTTTTTCTATCAACTAGCAATTATTATTTTTTTATTATCAAACTATTACATGTCATTTGATTATTATTTTTACACAGTAGTATCACCTTCTGAAGGAAATAGCTTATTATGAAACCTTGCCGGAAGCTTAGCTGTTTCGTGAAACCAGAAGAACAGGTGAAGCAACCTTATGTAAAAAGACAAAAGGAAAAAGGCATTCTCAGCAGCAGTACTGAGAAAGATAAAGAGTTATCTTGTTTCACAAAACCATAACCTTTTACCTATATGGGGAACAATAGAGAAGAACGTCAACACCTTCGGCAGACAGACTATACAGTAATAACTGTTTGTTTAAAGCTTATGCATTACTATAGCATTAATCAGACTCATGATGGACTGTTTTTTTGAAAAAGCAGATGAAGCAGAAAGACATTTTGTCTTTTGTTCATCCTGTTCATCCTTTTGTTAAATCCTGTGCATACATTATCAACAATGCAACCCGGCAACTAAAAGTTTTAGCTTAGTTAAATAGAATTTGATGTACTACTTTGAATTAAAAATTATACTCAAGAATTTCCATGTTATGCCACTGTTTACGTGCCAGAATAATATATGGTCCATTTTTCAATTCAAATTCAAAGGTATTATTGTCATATGTATAAGCTACAGACTGTAGAAATGGCTATGAAAATCTTCTGACCCGAGCTCCTCCAACAATGCAACATATATAATAAAATAGCAAAATACAAATAAAAAATTGTGCAAGAAGTCGATATACATGTAAATATAATATACAAGAAAATAATATGAAATTAAATAATGTACATTAAGACAAAATCAAATATGGTTTATTGCGGTGATAACTATTTAGATAGATTATAAGATGATATGTCCATTTAATACATAAGACATTCTGCAAAATAAAAATATAAAAAAGCTTCAAGGTATAAAAAAACAAAAAAAACAACAAATATAATTAACCATCAAATCGAATTTGACCAGATTGCGTGCACTCAATCTAGTATAAAGTTGGTTAAAAATGTGTGTATGTACTGTGTTGGCTGTGAGTTGTGGCATTTAGCGGCTCATACTTACATATACTTACTTTTAGGAACAATGTCAGCCGTCTACCTCCTCCTCCTGCTCCTCCCTCTGGTGTCAGCTCAGACCTATCACTGGGGTCCCTGTCCTGACCCCAAAGTGCAGCCTAACTTCAATCTTCAACAAGTAAACAACCATTCAAACATTCAATCAAATACTATTCACTGAACTACGCAGAACTAATGCAACCTCTCTGCTAACAGTATCTGGGGAAGTGGTATGAGATCGAGAAGCTGCCTGCTTCCTTCGAGAGAGGAAAGTGCATCGAGGCAAACTACGCTGTGAGGAAAGATGGTACCATTCGGGTGCTGAACAGCGGATTCTAGTGAGTATCCAAGGATATTTATTATGTTGTTATGACCTGACCAATCACTTAATTTCTGTTCAGTGTTACAGACTCTTGAAAACAAACCCACTTATCTTTCTTTTCAATCTGACTTGATTGACTAGATTGCATCATTCTGGGAAATGTGCTTACTCATTGTTTCTCCAACTTCAAAAAAAGAGTCTTGTTACCGCTTTCATGTGTCTTTTCATTTGTTAGGTTAATATGAATCTTGACCCCAGACTGAGGCTACTAGTTAGCTTAGCCTTGCATAAAGACTGGAAACAGGGAAATAGCTCTGTCCAGAGGTTACAAAATCCATCTTCCACCACCACTACAAATCATATCGTCATCTGAAAGTTTATTATAAGCTTAAAAAATACATGTATTGCACATATTTACTTCTTCTGAACAACCACGACTGTTTTAAACTAAATAATATTGGGGATTTCTTTTTACATTTTAGATGTAGGATGTAGGATAAATGTAGGATGGTTGATAAGCTGTAGGCTACTGTGTTATTATGCTTAGGTTACGTGAATTTGATCAGAATTCAAAAGGTGTGTGTCTGAGGAACCATGAGCTAACATTTATTTTTTTGATTGCTGATACCCACATTGCTAATTATTCTGACTTCAGCTATGTTTACTATTCACTAAAAAATCATAACCGACAAATATTACATACATTCAGTGAACTCTTTACATCCAATATTTGGGCCCTTACTATGATTGGATCATCATTATAACACACCAGTGGTTATAATGACTTTATATAACTAATTATTAGTTATGGAGATGACTAAAGGCCTATGGTGTCACACCTTAGGGAGGAGTCTATGCTTATTATGAAAAAGAAAAAAGACAGTACTTTGGACACAACCCTCTGTATGCTGGGAGATGATAGACATTTTAATCCTTTTTTAGTTAGATTACTTTCCCTAATCTTGGTTTTCCTTCAAACATGTACTCTGCTTTTGTATTTTACATATTTGTTTGAGAGAATTCAAAGTGTATCAAAGTGTGTCTCTCTCTCTCTCTCTCTCTCTC